ATTTTTCATGTTAATTTATCCTTTGCTGCTTATAACATGCAGAAATTGTCTTCTCTCTTCTCAATACCGTATCACATATCCATATTCCCAACCCTCACACACACACACAATCTCTCTCAAATCCTCCCCCACCTTCCTTGTGGTCTCTTCCTTTCCCTGTCACTGTGTCCTTGGCCTGGTGACTCTTCCACCCTGTATACTGCAGCAGATGTCCTGCAATGGCATGGCCTCTTCCTTCTTCCCCTCGGGCTTCATGTTCCAGCTTCAAGCTCCCTGTGAAGATGACCACCAACTGGTCAGCCCTGTCCGCTCCCTCATCCCCACCAACCTCCACCACCTCAGAGGTGATCTGCGGCGGCTGCCATTTCCAAGCTTCCGAAACCGTGGTGTTTCATCTGGTTGATTTGGTGGCGGTGCATGCAGGTGTAGCTCCGGCGACGGGGAAGAGATCGGCGTCGTTCTCAGGGGCCGAGACCTGCGAAGAAGCGAACGGCGATGACGAATTGTCCGACGACGCTTCGCTGGCCGGAGAGAAGAAGAGGAGACTCAACGTGGAGCAGGTGAGGACGCTGGAGAAGAGCTTCGAGCTAGGGAACAAGCTGGAGCCAGAGAGGAAAATGCAGCTGGCCGTGGCGCTCGGGCTGCGGCCGAGGCAGGTGGCCATCTGGTTCCAGAACAGGAGAGCGAGGTGGAAGACGAAGCAACTGGAGAAGGATTACGATGTGCTCAGGAGGCAGTTTGACGCCATTAAAGCCGAGAATGAAGCTCTGCAAGCCCACAACAAGAAACTCCAGACTGAGGTAGTCACCAGATTTCTCGTCTTCCTCTTCGTCAGTTCTTTCACGCTCTAATAAAAATCTATACAGAGTTAGCATTGCTGCACAAGTTTTGAGGCAACGAGAAAGATGCCCGCTTGTAATTGGTAACCACAATACCGGCAATGATGTCTCTGAGAGATCTCCTGTGATTAGATTGCTTTCCTCGTCTCCTTTCTTGTACTTTACCTCTGGCAATGGTGCCCAAGAAAGAGTTGATCATCATAAGGTCTTCTACATTTCTTGATCATTTGCTCTGGCAATGATCAGAGAAAAGCACAACAAATTGGTCTATCTCAATCGCAAGAACAACGAGAACGACGGTAGCAGCAAACCTCAGACCTCTGCTTTTGATCTCTTTCAGATCAAGAGATCTTCTACTGGTAATTTAAGACCGATCAAACATCACTATGATCAACTTTAGAATTATCGGTTAATCGAGAATCATATCTTGCAACCTTGTTCGAGGAAAGCTTGCGTTTAATTTTCTAGTAGAGAAAATTATGCTTTTGGTTGTGTCTCTCTCTTTCTATTTATGCGAAGGTCATCAAGCACCATCGAGGAAATCCTCTGTCCTCTTTAATTGTTTGATTGATCGACGTCCTGTAGTTATCATGCATCTTGTTTATGGCTTGAACCAAGTTGCATGTGCAGGCCTTGGCTCTCAGAGGTAGAGAAGCATCAGATCTCATCAATCTCAACAAAGAGACCGAGGGTTCTTGCAGCAACAGAAGCGAGAACAGCTCAGAGATCAACTTGGACATCTCAAGAACATCGGTCGCCGAAAGGTCCTGTCCCCCTCTCCAAATCTTGCCTTACTTCCAATCAGTTAGGCCAGCTGACCCAGACTGCCCGAAGGTCGAGAATGACGCCCCAGAAGGCAGCTTCAGCAACTTGCTGTGCAGCATTGGAGATCAATCTGCCTTCTGGCCATGGCCTGATCACCACAACTTTCATTAGCCACAACATCTGTTGGGCGAACTGTGGAAATCACTGCTGCATTTTCGTCTCTGGTTGAATTGTATTGCAATCTTATGTTTGGAGTTCAAGTCCCTGATGTAGAAAGAAGAACACTTGAAGGAATCAATAAGGAAACAAGAGTTCTTTGATGCTTGTGCAACCTTTAAATTGCAGGAGCGTGGAACACTGTGATGAGATCAAGCCTTTGTTGCTTTGCATGCGCCATTAATGAATGGTATCTCTGTCTCTTTCTCTCTCTGTGTGGTATTTGCTCAGATGTTCTGAAGAAAGTTCAGAGTAGCAACCGCTTGATGCTAAAATGCTTCAAAGCAGGCCAACTTTTTCTCTTTGTGAAGTTTGCCAACTCAGTTGCAGGTTTAGGAGAGGGAATATAGATGCATGTAGACAACCAGTTCTGATTTGATCCTTGGCTGTCACATGGTTCATGTATTATAATGTCCACCTACCTGAAACCTTCATGAATGAAAAGAAGAAGACGCAAGAGAGAGAAACTCAATGAAAGCATCTCTCCCCAGTACTTCCCTCTCTGCCATCCACAAGAAAGAAACATGCGACTCACTGAGCCCACCATCTCAAGGCTGTGTTGCTGGTAAGGAAAAAGAAATCTAAGAACCTCAGGCTTGATTCAATTCTCCAATTCTTAATCTAACTTTTCCAAGGTGCAATCAAATTGCTATATCACAGTGGAGTTCATCCTGAGCTATCAGCATAATCTAATGCAGTGAAGGATCTCCCCTGGCTATCAATTGCAGGAAGAAGAAGATACTGAAATCCACAGGGCAACTTTCCTAACATGTTCAGGAACAGCTTTGGGGAAATTTATTGTGTGTAACTAAAAAGATTCTGTGCACTGCAAGTGGCCTGCTAAAAGTAGACAGATCTTTTAAGCTTGCAAAAGTCTAAGAAGAGGGAAAGATGTGAAGAAGATGCAGCTCAGGAAACACATGTTTTGGTGCACCCTTCCATGAATCAGAATGGGTGGATCAGAGCACTCAGGACAAGCACAGGAATGATCCATCCCATATCATATATATTCCTTACCCTAAGGGTGATAGCATATCTGCACATGATGGTCTCTAAGTGGATGGGAGTCATGTTTGGAACCCCTACTATCATCTTCAGTACATGTATGTGATCTATCATTGCATTGCTTATTCAATGTATTTGTTCTCCTTTACACCTCTCACAGAGTGGTGTGAGCTTGACATTTTCTCTGTCTTGTTTCCTTTCAGACCAATGATAGCTTCCCCAAGTTCCTCTCGTTAGTGAGCTCCTTTTCTGGATCATATCAAATCCAATAAGCTAATGGACTTACCATAACGTGTCCTTATTTCCATCTTGCACTGGTTCTTTAGGACAAGTGCACAATTTCTTTGGGGGTGAAGTTAGCCCCCCTACAGTGGAAACAAGTGAGGGCTCAAAGGGAAGCTGACGACCATACCCAACATAAGGTTTGCAATGATTGGGAGAGGACCATGGAGGGTTGTTTGAATCTTATGACAGGCAAACCATGCTGATACTGATCCAGTGATTGGCTCAAGAGTTCTGCTCCATGTGGGAGTGCAAGGACCAAGTGATTGCATGGCCAAGAAGGTTGCCACAACAATGCTCTTCTCATCATGTTTGGCTCAGAAGAAGTGGGATCTCCTGTAGGGTTTTTCACAGTGGAAAGGTTGGAGGTCAAACCTTCTTTTGCCCAAAGAAAGAAAGAAGAAGAAGGAAATCATAGTGGTTGGGTCAGCCATGATTGCTCCAGGTTGTAGAGTGAAACATTCATCTTGGATACACTCAGAGAGAGAGAGAGAGAGAGAGAGAGGGGGGGTGGGAGAGGTTCTTCTTGTGAAGGTCAACTGTCAGAACAAAGGGGGGAAGTGTGAAGTATCAGAAGTTTTTATGGTTGATTTATTTTTTTTTAAAGGTAAATGATCAAAGTAAGATTCAAATTTAATATTTTGTAATAAGTTATCGAGATCTTTATCAGCTAAATTAGCTTAGATCATTGTGCATGAAGAACAGTAAAAAAGAGAATATTATCTGCATCAGTAGAATCAATCTCATCTGGAGAAGGAATGATTGCTTGAAGCAAGTGGGGGGCTCCAATTCCATGCTTAGTTGACCAATGAGCAATCATGTCAAAAGTCAATAACAAGCTCAATTAATAATAATGAGGATGGTTTGTTAGCATCATCCAAAGCATAATGTACATAAATATGTAGATTAATGGGGCTTTGGATTCAACTATTTTGGTGGCATGTACATACATGTAATCTAATGCTTGTATGGGTAAGCATCATGCATGTGTTGCCAACCAGGCTTTGGCACCTTCTTCAATTAAGTGTCCTCTCCTTCTCTCTTGTGGCTGCCAATTCTATATTCTCTGTTCTTTAGGTGCATGTGAGTAGATCACCAAGTTAATAATTTCACATGAAGAAGATGACATATGATACAAGAGTTTTTGGCTTTTGACACTCAAGATCGATTACTTTTGAGATATTAAAACACTTGTGTAGTACTTCTTTTCTAATGTCATATCTTGGATTGTTATGATATTTCAAGTCCCTTTCAAGAGATTCTCCATTCCATGGATCATAGAGTCAGTCATAAGGTGTTATGAGCTTGAACTGTAATACATTGTTCAGATGATAGTAAATTATCTAATCCTTATTCTTTTTTAATGTGAGATTAAATCATGATATTACATTTAATGTTGTAAAGAATATGTGATGGTTGTAGCCATGATGATTAAGAAGACTTCAGAAGCTTGCTTACTCGAGAGGTACTCAGTAGTCAATTTGCTAAGTCCTGTTGGATGAGGAGGACCTCAAGGAGTGTTGCTGTACATTATTCTTAGCACTACCAAAACTGGCACAATAAAAGGCCTTAGATCATTTAATAGTAATTTTAATTGTAACACTCTCAAGTTTACTTCTATATCTCAAATCGGTAAAGAGTTAAAAAATAATCATTAACATGAGTTTAAAATTTAATATATTAATGATTAAAATTTAATATATTAATAATAGTTGTACTATCAAATCATAACAAATGATACAAAATCAACATTGACATTGACATGACATGATAGACGGAGAAAAAATTATGGCGAACATCAAACTAAAAAATTATATTACGGTAAATATATTTAGTCACACTTCATGAACAATTGAATTGAATATTAGTAACTTAATAGGAGTATTATTATCAAACTATGTTTAGACATCGGTTAGTGGTTTGGTCTCCCAAGAATAGATGATTAGTTAACCCCTAACAAATTGGATCGTGATAAATGATATTAGAATAAACCTAGTATTAGACATTGAGTGAGGTTCAAATTGAAAAGAACTAGTCATACATCATATTAGAAGATATGCGTAATATCTTGATTAATTTCACATTGGAATTGAGCTAATATTATAAGGATATGATCGATGTATTATTATTAATTATAATTTAAATATTTTAAATAATGATTTTGATCAAACAAAATTAACAATTATTTCATGAAATCATAAATAACATCAAAGTTGACTTAATATTATGACAGATAAAAGCTCAGTAGGAAAAAAACTATTCGTAAACGTGACAGAAGACCGTTATCATCGAATATTTGATATAAATTATATTGGATATTGACAAGGATGTCAAATCTTGACAAGTTTAGTTTAGTTATTAGATAGTCACCTTCTTAGAGTTAAAGTGGAAAGACATCAAACTCGGAAGGCATCCTAAGTTTGATACAACAAAATTAACTTATAATGACTTCACAAATGTATCACTATTAGTGTTATCCTAAGTAGTTTTGGATCAGTGACTAAATTAGATAAGTTAATAAATCAGTTAATCCCTTTGAATAAGATGAAATCTTGAGAGTCACACTTCCTTCTCATTTTATACAATTGTCTAGTGTTGGTTGATACACCCATAATCTATTCAATGGATGCAGTCATTCCTTCAAAATACAGACTTAGGTGGTGGAGTACAAGGGTGCAAATTACATTGGCTTGTGCTTGTCCACCTCCTGATATTGTCTGAGAAAGGGAAGTTGGAAGAGCAGCACAGCTAGAAAGTGGCTCAAATAGTCAAGCCAGGCACCATTCAAAGATAGGAATTCCATGATCACAAAATAACCCATGTTACAGGACATAGTGATTACTTTTCCTTCTTCCAATGGGACCTTTGCATCTACTGCTTTTGGATGGCTCCTGGTGTTCTGTTCCTGTAAATATCACAAAAACAACCTTTAGCAATATTGAAGGAAAATTTGCTAAAATCACATGTTTTTTGTTGTACTAAGTTTTAATATAAGATGTATTACTCCTTTCCATACTTTTTATCAATGTTACATGCAACATTTCTCTTAAATTCCCTGTTAGAAATTTGCTTAGCCTTTACTGAGAATTATATGTCAGAAAATTTGGCTGCTGATTGCAGAATCTAATTATTGATGCATTAAACCCAATGATGTCATATGACCAAGTTATCATCAAGCTACTTTTCTCAGGTCTACTTTATATTTTGACCAGTGAAAAATCTCTTTCCAAAGTGATCTCTCTTCTTCTTCTTTTTTGCCTAATTGTCTCTTTCACCTCCTTTTGTTGGCAAGTCTTTTAAGCCTTCTATATTGATCATTCTTCTTCTCTCTTGTGCTAATCTTACCCTTTTTTTTTTACCATCTCCTCTTCATCTACTACCATAATCTTCACTTTCTCCTCTCTATTCCCTTTCTCCATTCTCTTTCTTTATCGCTTATTCCCATTCTTGGTCGTTTGTTGTCCCTCTCGTGATCATCATTGAAATGAACAATAATGTTTAAGAAATTTTTATGCAGCACTTCTTATTGATGAGATAGTACAACAGCCGACATGTCTGGGCTGATCATGGCAGGACAAAGATCGAAAGCATGAGGTTTGATGTAGTAACTTGTTTAAGTGATGGATGGTCATGGCTGATTTAACATTTAGTAGAGAGAGAGAGAGAGAGAGAGAGAGAGAGTTTTTAATTAAACCTTCAAACTTTAACAGCTAAATAACTCCAGTCAGAGGAAACAACAGGGTGATTTTCTATTAACCTTCTTTTTGGATTAAAGAATTGTCTTTGGTTGAAATTTTTGATGAATGCAGTCTCCTTAGAGATCAAATCAAGAAATTTTTTGTGTGTCCAGTACTGAACCTTCATCTTTGCTCTCCTCACTTCACTTTGGTGGCAAATTTGATGAACAACAAAAGAGAATGCTATTCTATTTGACATGACTTCCAACAGCTGGAAGAAGCTTGTGGTTTTTGGAACATCTAATTTGAATGATAACAATTGGCCTTCTTGTGTTCTCCTGCAGGAGAGGGCATTTCCTGCTTAGCATACTTGATTTGTCATCCCCGGGCATCAGCACCAACTCCTTTCAGCAACCATCTTAATCTGTGATGTAGATTGTTAGCTTTCTTTCCTCTTCCCATTCACCATTCTTTTGTTCTTCTGACAGTCGTGTACAACTGATAATTAATTATTATAAGAAATTCCAGATCAAATATGATGAGGAAAGAATTGATCTCTCTTCCATAAGCTCTTCTGTGCCACCAGTTACTTTGTATACTCTTGTTGGATGTCTGCCACCACCCATGCATGAAAAGAGACATCATGGCAAGGAAAATTACAATTTGTGGTATGGCATTATTGGGTGAATACATTAGCATGTAAAGTAATGTTCTTTTGGAACCTTTAGACTAGGAGCTTTGATTGAACATGAGAAAAGAAATAAAGGTAAGAATCTGCATGATGATGATGATAGTGTGTGTTAAGTGCTGGAGAAGCATCACTTTCCAACTCTGATCTTTGAGCCGGTAATCTGCTACCTGAATTCAATCAATCCCTACTGGAGTTGTCCTTTTGGAACCTTTGAGATTCTTGAGAATGTATTTACTGTATTCAATCGAATTGTTTATTTACTATAAGCACACTAAATAAAGCTAATCATTGCTTCCATGGTCGCTATATATACCCAAAGTAGAAGCTGGTCTCTGCTCTTGTTCTACTCTCTCTAGGTTTGAAGCTGTGAAGGCATCCATGGGAGACTCCAAGGAGGTGACTTGAGCTTTCTTTTCTTCTATATCTGCGCTTATTATTACTTTTCTTTTGGTTTTTATGTTGTGGATTTCGTTTCTCTTGAACTCTAAAGAGAGGGGTGATGGTGTTTGCAGGGTAAAAACAATGGCAACAGCAGTGGATGGATGGCGGTGCCGGCGTTCGGGGAGTGGGACATGAAGAACGGGGTGCCGGATTACTCCATGGACTTCACCAAGATTCGGGAGATGCGGAAGCAGAACAAGCACCCCTCCCGCGCCAGCCTCGGCAACGACGACGAGCTCCAGCTCCCCTCCAACAACAGCAACAACGAGGGGGAGGCGGAGGAGGAGCCCCGCCGCCGCCGCCACCGCCATGGCTCCCCCACAGTACGTTTCCGGTTCTCCTCTTCTCTTCTACCCGTGCTCATGGGGAAGCGAGCCGTCGATGGCATCGAGGCTCTCTGGCCGCAGTGCAACGAAGGCCCCACCGGCGGGCCCGAGAACGGCAGACCATGGGCAGACGCTCGGCCGGGATCAGGCCAAATAGATGGAGACAGGGGGTGGGGTTGGGTGTCATTGACTGAGACTGACCTAAAGCAGTTGGTGCCATAAAACCATCTTCTCAAAAGATGCCATTAGCTTTAACTCTTTCTCTTGGCTTCTACAGGGGAGGAAGAAGAAGTTGATGGGATGCTTGCGGTGCTGTACAGGTGCATGAGGACAGTCACACTCACTGCTGATGACTCAGTGTTCCTTCTCTTCGCTAACAAAAATGTATGCTTTGAGAATCTTAAATCTTCAATGCCACTCTGCATCATCTACTTGGATTTAGCCAAGCTGGGAAGAACTTTAGAATGTAGCAGTGATTGATGAACACCATGAGTGTGCTGCTCTGAAACCTAATCCTATTTTGTGGTTGTGTTGCAACTTCAAATTTATTCTATGCAAGTAAAGATCGTAAGAACTGGTACATGACAGGATTAAACTCGTAGCATACGATCAACACGCTTGTGGAGTTGAGAGTCCTAGCAAGGCGGCATGTAGCGAGGTGGAGGCAGCACCTTCTCCTTTGGGCCTTCGCCATCCTTCACTATCAACACGGTGTTCATTCCCCAAATCATGTGGCGCTCGATATGGCAATGCATGAACCACACCCCTGCAACACCACAATGTCACAAACATGCTTCAGGGATGAGGCTGATGTGGTTTGGTTGTCTTCTTCATCTGTGTGAAGTCACGAGGGGGTTGGGAACTCACCAGGATTGTTGGCTGTGAATCTGACGGCCACCCATCCGTTTATGGGAACTCCGATGGTGTTCTTGAATGGTGGATCTTGCAGATTGTACCTCAGGGGATCTCTCTTCTTGTCGAAGTTCCCGTAGCCCCAGCCCACCACGTAGAAGCTGTAGCCGTGCAGGTGCATGGGATGGTTGTCCCCCATCACCAGCGACGTCCCCTGGAACACCACCTCCATCCTCGCCCCGTACTCCAAGACCCTGACTTCGGTCCCCAGCGTCGGGAGCAAGAGGCTCAGCGGCTGGTCCGTCGCCGTGAAGTTGTAGTAGTACGGCGGCATGCTCGGGAAGTTCTCGCCGAACACGCCGCCGATCCCCGCGTAGTAGGCTTCCAGTATGTCGATGGGAGGGTCCACGAAGCTGATGTTGTTGAGGCTTGCCCGCAGCCGCGTCCCGTTGGGCCCGGCGCACGACGCCTGGGGGCACTCGAGCTCGTTAATGGCGACCGCGATGAACATGTCTTGGTCGACCGTCTTGGGGACATCCACCGGGTGGGCGGCGTTCGCTGGACTACGGAGCGCGAAGGAGAAGTTGGTCGCCGCCGCGGTATCGTTGTAGTAAGGAAGGGTTGGCAGGAGGGGTTTAGTCGACTCCAAGGGGAGGTCAGAAACGTACTCGACGATGGCGGTGGTGGCGGTGGTGGGAAACGAGCCGAGGGAGAGATAGCTAAACGCCCGGCCTGCCATGTAGTAGAGTGCGTCGGGAGGCTGGTTAGCTTCCAGTAGCAAGTCCATCGTTTCCCCGGGCGTGATCATGATGTAATCCGAGGACAAAGGTTTGACGTAGTTCCCGTCAGATCCTACGACCACGACGGTATGACTGGCGACGGAGAAGAAGAGCCCGTTGCTCATCGCGGCGTTCACGACGCGGAGGAGGTAGGTCTTACCGTGCTCCACTGGCATTCTGAAGGTTCCTGGACGAGATGTCAGAGGACAAAGCGTTTGATCTCTGCAAGACGAGAGCAAGGACCAAAGGGAATCACTTCCGACAAGTCGACACCTGCAGACGAGCAAGGGTAGAGATCGCCCGGTCGTCCATTAATGGTGAAAGCATCGGAGCTGTTGACTTCACCTCCCGTGCTAAGAGCCTCTTCCAGTATTACATTGGCGCCCCGGTTCCACCACTCCCCTGCAACGCAGCAATCAACAGAACAAACAGAACTGTGAGTAGAACAGGCGGTAATCGTCGTCTTCTCCACCATAACCGATCAGAATCTACGACGACCGAGCATGATGACGAATTCTTGGAAGGGGTGTGGGAAGGGGTAGCGCGTTCCGCGCCGGGGACGAACGACGATGGCGCCATGGACGGTGGCTCGATCGAAGTCGTTGTGCGCGTGCCACCAAACGGTTCCTTCCTCGGTGGAGAGGATGATGGTGTAGGTGAAACTGGCTCCAGGCTTAATGGGGCACTGCGTGATGAACTCAGGGCCATCTAACCATGGATTCCTTGGCTGCTTTACTCCATGCCTGCATGTTTCTTCGATCAATTGTTGTGTACAAAGGCAAACTCCCAACGAGGATTTACTTGATGATTAGCGAAAGCCGTCAGTAATCAATGGCCATACCAGTGGATGGTAACATTCTTTGATGCATGGTTGTGGACCTTCACAACAATGGTATCTCCTCTGTGAGCATGCAGATTGGGTCCTGGAAACTGCCCATTGACTGTCATTATGCTCTTCGTTCTACACAGCCGAGTACGAGGAACTTCCTCCACCTACAAACAACAGCATTCCAAATCACACTCTCATTCACAGAACATGAAGCAGAGAAGAGAGTGTTTCAGAGGAGTACTCACATTGAAGACATGGGAATGAGTCTTGCCACATGCTTGAGTTGAAGCAAGACAATGTAGCAGCACCAACAGAAGACACAAGAAATCCATCTCTGCAGAGTGGAAAGACTGCTGCTACTGTCGTAGCATTTTTATAGTGGACACAGAGATGCAGAGCTCGGATCACAGGCTGCCCTCTGATGGAGACATTGCACCTTACATGGACCTTCTTTCTTCTCTGAGTTCATTTAGGAAAGAATTGGTGACCTGAGGCATTCCACGGCCAACTCTACATTTCTGGTACCTCTGAGGGCTCATTAGGTCCTCAAATGTAAACTTTTCTTCTTCTACTATTTCTTGCTTTTAACTGTGACGGTGAGACTACACTCATATCAAAGAACTTATCTGTCATCCATTGGAAGCCTTTGTTTCGATCAAAAGGTATAACACAAAGCAGGTTGGCAATTACGAGCCATGGTTACCTGGACTTCGTATGAACTGAACAATAGAAAGGATCAGCATTAACATCTACCAATTTATCTCAATCATCTGCCACAACCACCTGATGGAGTTTTTCTCTGGCTGCATTAGCTGCTTTGTCAAATATGATTGATTCCAACAAGCATTTGGCTTTAAAGAGTAGAAAGGAGGGACTCATATTCCATGCTTTTGATTCAAAGAGGCCATCTTCGTGTTGATTTCTTCTCATGCAGGCTAGTTTTCCACCACCCCAATTAAATCTCAAGATGGATGTGATGGTAACAAGCACTAGAGAGGCTAAAAATCTACCTTGTGTTAGTTGAGTTTGGGCTGCATTGACTTCTTACTCTCTTGGCAAGCAGCTAAGAAAGCAAAAACAGGCTGGATGAAGAAGATGACCTCTTTACTCTCTTCACAGTGACAGTCACTAAAGAATCCCCCATTCCTTTTTAAGTCAGCTCTCAACCCCCACCATTACAGCAAAATGTTCATCATTTAATTCACCAGCTACTCCCAGGAAAAACTGGGGGTGAGATCATTATTTGCATCTATTCTTGTTATAGAGGTACAGAAGAATAAGAGAACATTGAAAGGTTGATATGTTGTACTTATCTAACAAAAGATGCATGCAATCTTCACATAAGATCCCTTCAGCATTAAGGATTTGTTTGTATCCAGACCTCTTTATTCAATGACATGTTAATAACTACCAAGATCTCTGATCATACCCCATTTTTCCTGAATAGATTTTGCAAGACTCATTGTGTCACTGAGGGAGAGGAGTAGAATACCCAAGTACTCTTCCTACTTAAGTTTCTAATCTAAATTCGTCTAAGTAGTTTGAATTTGATTAGGACATCTTCTAAGTAATTAGAATCTAATTAGAATTCCTAAAATACTTACCAACCATAACACATTGGATGTAATCTGGTAATTGTCCATTATCTGAAAGCAATATCAGAACAGTGCCTCATTAAATACTACAAGGATGAGTTGCAGAAGGAAGAGTAGCTGCATCTTTAAGCTTTAGACCGTAGAAAACTCATTGAGCTTGGTATCGTATCCTCCGTCTCCGGTTCCAGGGCTGTAACTGATGCTAAGGAATATGAATTACGCCTCTTAAAGGGCACAATTTGGTAGCATGCTCCTAGCTAGCCGTCCACAGCCACATCAGCACCAACAAAAAGTTTCGAAGTCGATGTGGCAGACCACATCAGTATGACACCACCCCACAAGGAGTAGAACGACATCGCTCGGGTGTGACAGCGGTACTGCTTGGGTACAACGTCATCCTGCAAAGAATGGAACGACGTCGCCTCGCAAAGAGTGGAACGGTGTCGCTTGGGTGCGACGGCGGCACCGCTCTTGTACAACGCCATCCCGTAAAGAGTGGAACGGCGTTGCTCGACTATAACTCCGCCCCGTAAAGACAGGGACAGCGTCGCTCAGGTGCGACGCCGTGTAGGACAACCGGTGTCAACACGAAAGGTATGGATTCATCAATTAAGAGGTCGACGACCATTAAGAGGCTGGGGGCAACCAACCCCCGTGGGGAGGCATAAAAACCCATCGCTTGGTCAACACAAAGGAAAGTTTTTTTTCCACTCAAGCATTCTACTCTCACTCATTCAACCGAAAGCTAACTTAAACTTCTGAGGAGTAGAGTCGAAAAATCTCCCTCCCGACCTCGACCTGTGTGTAGGAGCTCAGCAACAACAGAGAGACAAGCCACCCGCTAAGAAAGATGGTCGCCCTTAGGAGACGAAGCTCGAACCCGATCCGACACTCGGGTGACAACGCAGGAGACCCTACGCGTCAAGGGCTCCGAGACAAAGGGCTGCACCGAACATGGAATGGCCAATGCTAGCTTCTGAGATCCGAGCTTTAGATCAGACAACCTTGCGCATCTGGGATCGACCCTAGCCATGCTGACCCCTCGGCAACGACATAAAGAGACACGAACAGCCTCCATTCTCCATCTTGTCAATCTATAACCAAATTTGTGCACATTGAAGCTGGTAATTGATGCATTAACGAGTAAGAGAGTGTTGGGATTGAACGAGGGAACTCAGAATTTTATGACTGGGTTAATGTGTACTGGTTTTTGGATTCATAAGGACCCAAAATAATCACTAATTTCACTCCTTTATAAAGAAGTTTCAGTATATTTCTATCATCTGAATCATCCATTAGAAATTCCTTATTTTTCACTTTCTCACACTTAAAAGATATTTCTCATACATTCACTCCGCGAGGTGGTGACGGTCGCCGGCCAGGAGGACGGCTCACTGCAGGCCTCGGTGGCCATCTCCATGGGTCGGACGGAGGACTTTGCACGGGTGTTTCTGGGTGACTTGGAGGGCCACCGAGGTGGCAGCAATAACGTGGGAGG